GAGGGAGGGAGAAAGATAGAGAAGGAGGGAGAGAGAGAGAGGACAGGGAGAGATGGGGAGGCCACATCAGGACTGTTACTAAATTATTAAGTTCAGATTTTTGTTGAGCATCTCCTGTGCCTCATATTATCTGCTAACAGTCTGTTTCTTTCCTCAGAGCAGAGTTACAACTCTGTAGGTTTAGGAAAAAACCCTTAAGTAGATCTTTCTTAGTTGGAGGGCTGATGGGAGAACAGGAGCCCAAAGAATGTGAGATCTCTAGTTCCTTTTTATTTTTTCTGTAAGGCATCTTGGAAGATGGCTAAATTGCTCTGTTTCTTTACAAATCATGAATACTTTTAAACTTATATATTAAAGATGTCTTTTCAAATTCTCTAAGATAATCATAATTTTAAAAACTGCTGATATATAAATTAGAAGTTTTCAAGAAAAGATACCTATAACAGGAGGATGAGAAGTAGTGTTAGAGCCTCTTAATCTGAGTGATGGGGTGAGAAATCCTATCTGGATTTTTGATATCCCTTCCAGCTGGGAGTAATTTACGGAGGAGCTTTGTTTTTCACCTGTTGCAGGGAAGAGGAGGAGCCGGGTGCTGGGGTCGCAACCATGCCCTGTCGCAGGTGGCCCACAGCCCTCCCAGCTCACGTCACCACTCCCCATTCTTGCTGCTACACTGACAGTTTGGTCCGCTTCCCCCTGCCATCTGGAGGTCTCAGTGCACAAAAAGACTCTTTTGAAATTCATATGCAACTGCTGGGCCTACTGGCGCCTTGTCCCAGAATAGTTTCAGCACCAGCGGATCGTGGCGGGTCTTTTTGACTCCTTAGTCTTTGAGTTTGTGGATCTACAGGAGAAAACTTGAACAAGAGCAGGTGGCGTCTGACGACGAGTAAACAGTGATGTGACAGACAGAGCACCACCGGAGCCTCCTAACCAGCAGCCTGGTGGTTCTCGTGAAGGATTTCGTGCCAGGTTCTTAGCACCACTTGGGAAAATATTCCTTTGCCCTGCTATGATGGCTTTATGACATAATTTCAGCCAGAGGTTGGCAAATACTTTTCTTTAAAGGATCAGGTAGTAAATATTTTAGGCATGTGGGCCATTCAGTTTCTGTTGCAACTATTTAACTTGCCTTTTGTAGCATGAAAACAGCCATAGTTAATACGTAACAAATGAGTGTGGCTGTGCTCCAGTAAAATTTCATTCATGAACACTGAAATTCTAATCTCATACAGTTTTTATGTGCCATGAAATACCATTCTTCTTTTGAATTCTTTTTTAACCATTTAAAAACATATAAACCTCATGGGCTGTACAAAAACAAGTGGCCAGCCAGACAAGGTCTGCCTGCCCTAGTTCGTGGGCCCTGATTTAAACTAGAGTGAGGTTCAGAGGCCATTGCGTTCCCTTTTAGTGTGTGAATGGTAATTCGTAGTATAATCTACAAGGAGCTATGCAGATTGTCTTTTTGTATAAGACTCTTTCTTCAGGAGAGAGTTAAAGCCGAGGGATAACTTCAGGATCCTCTGCTCTTTGACTCCTGTTTAGCTAAAAACTTGATTCCCCCCTCTTTGCTACAGGGAGGCTCAGATATACTGAGGTGCCCTCATCATCAGGTTCCCTCCATCCGGCTAATGCAAGAGACTTAACTGGTTATCTTCTGCTCAGAAATGCGAATAGATAATTATAGTTGCCTTTGGTATATAAAGAAAAATGGGACGTTAACTCATCAGTACTTTATAAATGAAGTTAACTTGGTGTAACATTACCAAAAACGTGAAAGTAGGCCAGAGGTATGATAAAGAAATCCTTGTAAGGAGAAAGTCGAGGCTCACTGCTTGAGCTTTAAGAATGTTGATATGTCTGGTGAGACATCAGAGGGTTAGATGATCCCAGAGCTGCTCGATCAGCTGTTCACCATTGAGAGCTTAGTCCTGTGAACTTCATTCTAATTTATAAATTCATTTTTGTCTTCCTTAAAGTAATAATGAACTTCTTAGGACTGAGATCTTATTTATGAAAGGACCTGAGAAATCGTGGTCCTGCTTCTCAGAGGGCAGTAGTGACTTTGGCAATTTTGAGACAAATTTATACCTACCTTGGGTTTAATTGCTGATGTGTGATTTTTTTTTTAAAGTACTCCGTCTAGATGTTCTGACCTATACCAATCAAAGTTCATCGCTTAACAAGGAATCTATGATCCATATTTAATTTTTACCACTTACTCTTTGAAGATTGAGAAGTATCATTTATGTAGGCTGTGGCACAAATTGGTTTCCAGTTATCACCAAGCAAGCTTACATGTGATTGTGGAATTTTGCAGGCATTTCCTTGGTTCAGATTATCAGATTTTTCCCAGCCAAAGACCATCTCATACTTAGCAGCTTAGGATTTTTTAGATGAATATCCATTGGATAGATAAAGCACATCCAACTGACCTTAATTTCTTTCTCTTCATACATTTTCTTTTCTTTCTCAATGAAATGCACGTTTTAGTAGCCTTTAGATCAGTTGATCTGTTTTGGTTAGATCGTATGACTGACCAACAAACCGACAACTCATGGAGAAGGGGTTCTGGTCCCTGTGGGGTTACTCATTTTCTGTGTGGAGTCTGGGAAAGCCTCTTAACCTCCATTTACCTCTGATTCCTCATCTGGGAACCTTGACAGTGGAATGATACTGATCTGTGAGAGGCTGAGCATGCCCGTGTGGCTTAAACAAAACAGGCACTTGAGTTTGCTTCAGCAAGTCCGGTGGGACCAACTAAGGCGGATTAATGAGAGCTGTGCCTCTCACACTGTAATGTGTCTTCAGATCACCTGTGGTCTTGTTAAACTGTGGAATCTGATTCTGTGGGTCTGGGGTGGGGCCTGAGATTCTGCATTTCTCTCAAGCTCCAGGTGGACGCTGCTGGGCCTTGGACCACACTTTGTGAGGTGTGAATGGCTGTGGAAAAGGACCCGTGTTCTCCGCTTGGAATCTCAGGGCAAGAATGGCAGGATGTTTTAAATGGACTGGAGAGAGAGCATGACAGTGTAATTCATGAGGCACCTCCCTGAGAGACAGAGTACTCAGTTTTTCAGCCCCATTGGTTTACTTTGCCTTGACCCTGTGCCTTCTTTGCATTGCTGCAGCACCTACTGTTTGCACTCCTTGTTGGATTCATTACATGTTAGTTTATCTTTTATTGTTATTCAGTTGTTTTATGTGTAACTTGTGTCATTTCTTTAAGATGGTAAAACCCTAGCACCGGGTTACGTCTTAACGTTACTGCTGCTGCCTGGCGCACCATTCCAAACGCAGTGGTGTAGAAACAACCATTTTTATTTTGCTCACAGATTCCTCTCGGTCAGGAATTTGGACCCTATGTAGTAGGGACAACCTGTCTTTGCTCGTGTCTGGGGGTGACTTAACGGCTGGGAGCTAGAGTCACTGGAGTGTCTTTACTTACATATTTAGTGAGTGATCCTGACTATCAATTAGGACCTCTGCTGGGGGGCTAGCTGAGACACCCACGTATTTCACCCACGTACGGTAACTCTGTCCGGCGGCTTTGGGCTTCCTCACAGCATGGCAGCTGCGTTCCAAGAGCATGTGTCAAAGAACAAGGCAGAAGTGTGTGACGTGTTTATGATCTTGCCTCGGAAGCATCATTTCTACTGCATGCTTTTGGTTGAGTTGGTCACATCATAAGAAAGTCATGGGTTGTGGTCATTTCTGGCAAGTACATTCTGCCACAGTCCCCAGCCACACTCAGAATAGTGTTGAACACGTGGCATCAACTCAGTAAATACTGTTGTGTAAATGAGTGACAGGTAATTTAAACACCCAGGTGGATGAGGACCAAACTAAAAAACTCAATTCCAAATGTGCAGAGTTTGCCCCCTGGTACCCAAATAAATATACACCTTCACCTTTTATATGGATAGTTACTTATAGTCTCTTCTGTCTGATCTGCTTATGTTTCCAACATGAGAATCTATGAATTTATCATACGGCACTAGAAGTCTGTGTGTCTGTGTCACTGGTGGCATCCTTTCCTCCTGCTCTCATCCAGTGGACTGCCCATGCCCTCCTTTGGACTGTGGTATATTCTCCAGTCAGCAGCTGACTAGTGTCTTAAAATTATCAGCCTTTGCTTCTCTCCCTTAACAGGCTGGGGTCCACGCGAGGACACTGAGAGCCAGCCAGGTCACACAGGTGGCTGCTCTGCAGCTGCATGTCACGCTGGGGGAGGATCTGACCAAGCCAGAGGGTGATTCTCAGTCTAGCTTTATATGTATTATGTGTATTTATCCTTTTCCCACCATCACATCAGTTAATTTATATGGTGGGAAAAGCAGAAGTAAACCCTCCTTCAAATGTAAGATGCTGAGATGTTTCAGTCAGATTACTAAAGCTTTCCGGATAACTGAGAATAATTGAGTATCTTTTATTTCATTTTACTTTAATATGAATGTATTCAACTTTTGTTTGAACTTTAATCTTAATGTTGTAACAGAAAGGTTTTTTTTTTCCTTAACAAAAGTTTGCCACACTGTGGTTTTTATCTGTAAGAGCATTTTAACTTTTTCCCCCAACGGAACATATTTCTGATTTAATAGTGAAATGTAATGACAAAAGTAGTATTTATTTATGGCAGTGTAGGCTAAAATGCTTCTATTTTATTTTATTTTATCTTTTTGGCTTTTAAAAATCATTTTTCAGTTTTATTAGGTAAAACTGATACAATTTGACTGCACATATATAATATATTGCATGTACATATATACAATATACTGCACATATTTTTTAAAAAATTCACTCTATATGTACTGTTCATTGTTTCTAAGAACAGTTTTGAGCTTTAGCTTTTTCAACTCACATAGTTATCAAAGGAATAAGGCCAACCACAAAATAAGAATCAACAGAATGCAGTAATCCAGTCAAAGGACAGTCAAATGTGCTTATACATATAAGTGCTTCTATTATAAGAAGAGTGATTTTAAGGGTTTTTTTTTCTTTTGAAACTAGATAAACATTTACTTTAATGGAGGAAGAAAATGTGATTACATAGGCTTTTCCTGTATTTTTTGAAAAAAATATACAGGCTTTCAGTATATACTGTGGACCTCTGAGATCCCTACAGCTAAAAATATTTTGGATCACTTTATACAGTCATCTCTACACCATTTTTCTGCTTATTCAACATGAGAAGAAAAAGCAGTAGATAGAATTTCAGTTCTTTAACTCCTCATTCTAGTGGGGTTTTTTTGGTCATGATTTTAAACAAAAAGTAGCTTCCATGGCCGTGGGATGGATGCTCTGAATAGAACCTGACTCCAGGTGTGGACGCTGGTGCCCACATCCCAGGAGTTCTGCAGTGCAGGCAGCGGGCAGTTGCTCATAGCTTATACGCTATTCAGATCACAGGCCCACTGAGCAGACACTAATTCTGCATTTTATTTAGTACTTAGCACTTTGATGTTCATTATTCAAAGAGACCAGCGTCATATCTGACATTTCTTATAATTTGTAAACCCCCCCAACCCCCCCCCACCCCGGTCTCTGGAGTTGGTTTAGGACAGCTCCTTTTTGTCTTTCATCCCCATCCCCCTGGCTAGAAAAGCATTTTTCCCTCCAAGAAGTAAATGCGGCTGCCAGAGCAAGCTGGGAGGGCTGAGTTGAACACCATGGACAGCGACGTGGCCACTCCCTGGCAGTCTCCCTGGTCATCCTTGGCCCAGAGACCAGCGCACTGCAGTGGGAGTGGTGCTGTCACTCAGAGAGCACCTTGCAATCTTTGATCCCTCAAACATGGTCAATCTTTTACTCTCCTAATAGTCTGTCTTCCTGGACACATTGACTAAGTTGGTTTGGACACAACTGTGGTGTAATATCCATGTTCTCTTTTATTCATTATGATCAGAATCTGCTAGTCTTCAGAACTGGAGCCAGCTAGGGCTTCTTGCTGTGCCTACCCTGGGGCGCTCCTTGCTGAGGTCCCTCTGCTATCGGGAGGGCTTTCTGTGTGCTGAAAGGTGTACCCGTCTGTGGCAGCATTTCCCTCTTCTGGGCAATAGGAGAAACGAGAGCAGCTCAGCCCGTCTGCGCCCAGTGTTTTCTGCACGAAGCGTTTCAGCACATGCTGTTCAGGCTGACCTAAGACCCCTCTCATGCCCTGAAGGCGCTGGCTGGTGGGGTGGGAGTGCTGGAGGTCAGGTACTGCGGCTGCAGCCACCGTCCACAGTCACAGAGGAGCGGCGTGTGGGCTTGAGTGAGGAGCTCAGACACCTGGATCTTTTCCTGGTCCTGTTACTTATCATCTCCAAGTTTAAATCATCTCACCCTTTCTGAAGCTTGTATTTTCCAATCTGTAAAAGGGGTGCGGGGTGTTTGTCAGAGGAGCATCTGTGTATCTGTGCCCTCGGAGTGCTCTCTGGCAGAAGTTGTTTTTCTCAACCTTGGACTCAGCTTCAGCATTTTAAGCAGGTTTGTTGGCACGAGACTGGCTAGCAGCAGCAGGGAGGGAGCATCGTGTCTGTCTCACTTGGATCTGCCCTGAGGACTCACAATCTGTTTTGTTTTCCCTGCAGCACCAAGTACCCTATCACTGCCCAACAAATGAGTTAACTGGCTAAGCTCGGCTTCCGCTCTCCCGTTACTTAGCTGTGGCCCTTGATGAAGACCCTTCTGCTGGAAAGGCCAGTGCGCCTGGGACACCGGTCTCAGGAGGGGAAGTGGCTTCCCAAAAAGAATGATTATTTGGGAGACCACAAGACCGAGTCCCTCTTAATTAGTAACTAGATAACCTGGTTGGAAGTTTGACTTGTATCTTCCACACTGAGGATGGAGTTATCACCAGCAGTTCAAAAACCTAATTTTGTGTGCTTATTACCGCAGTGACTTTGCTTTTAAAACTATTAGGGTTCTGCCAGGGAAAGACTTGGAAGTGGGACGAGACTGCGCTCTGCTGTGGGACGGGGTGTTCTCACAGAGTTCTGCCCGTTTCTGCGTACATCTGACACTCACATCCGTGCGCCCTTAAGCGACTACTTCCTTGTTCCTCTTCGTGATGTGATATCACCTGCATACGTCTCTGTGTACCCCTGTATCATTAGATGTGGGCCCCAGAAGAGGGTGTGTAGCCTTGGGTGTGAGGCAGCTCCCTTCGGGCAGGGGCAGCTTCTGGGGACAGACTTGAGCTCTGTCAGCACCAGCCCTCTGAGTGCCTTAGTCTTGAAGGGGAATCTGGTGGCCCAGCACAGCATCCACCTCTGCAGTGGTTCTCAGCGTGTGTCCTCTAACCGGCACATCTGCATCACCTGGGAAATAAGTGCCAGCTCTTGAGTCCCTGCTTCAGAACTGCTGAATCAGAGACTCGGGCTGGGTGGGGCGGGGGGGGGCGCTCAGCTCCCTGCGTTTTAACAAGCCCTCGTGGTGACTCTGACGCTGCACTGTAAAGCTGTAATTGTTTTTTATTGATACGGTTGACACAGAACATTGTATAAGTTTCAGGTGTACAACATAAGGACTTGATATTTGTATATATTGCAAAATGATCACAGTAAGTCTAGTTAACATCTTCCACCATACATGGTTTAAAAAAATTTTTTTTCTTGTGATGAGAACTTTTAAGATTACTCTCTTAGCAGCTTTCAATTATGCAATACAGTATTGTTAACTGTAGTCACCATTGCTGTACATGAGGTCCCCGTGCCTTATTTTATAAATGGAAGTTTGTATCTTTCAACCCCCTTCACCCATTACCCATTTAGCCATTACCTCTGACAACCGGCAATCTGCATCTGTGAGCTTTCTTTTTTAAAGATTCCACACATAACTGACACTATATAGTGTGTCTTTCTCTGACTTCACTTAGCATAGTGCCCTCAAGATCCATCCATGTTGCTGTAAGTGGCAAGATTTCCTTCTTTTTTATGGCTGATTAATATTCTATTGTGTATACATGTATCACGTTTTCTTTATCCATTCATCCTTCCATGGACAGGTCGTTTCCATGGCAGTGAACAAGGGCTTGCATGTATCTTTGAGTTAATGTTTTTGTTTTCAGTGGATAGATACCCAGAAGTGGAATTGCTAGATTGTGTGGTAAATCTAATTTTTGGAGGAGCCTCTGTACTGTTTTCCATAGTGGTTGCACCAATTTACATTCCCACCAATAGTGCACAAGGGATCCCTTTTCTCCACATCCTCGCCAACGCCTGTTATTTTTTGTCTTTTTGGTAATAGCTATTCTGACAGGTGTGAGGTGGTATCTCATTGTGGGTTTTAAAAAAACTTTTTTTTTTTTCGGCTAACTTTTTTTGGGGGAGGGAGGTAATTAGGTTCGTTTATTTATTTTTAATGGAGCTGCTGGGGATTGAACCCAGGACCTCGTGCATGCTAAGCACGCGCGCTACCGCTGAGCTATCCCCTCCTCTTCGCACTGTGGTTTTGATTTGCATTTGCCTGATGATTCGTGATGTGGAACAGCTTTTCATGTGCCTCTTAGCCACCTGTATGTCTTCTTTGGGAAAATGTCTGTTCGGATCCTCTGCCCATTTTAAAAATCAGATTGTTTTTTGCTGTCAAGTTGTATGAGCTGTTTATATATTTTTGGCTATCTACCCCTTATTGGTCGTTATCATTTGCAAATGACTTTTTCTCATTCCGTAGGCTGTCTTTTCGTTTTGTTTAGTTTCCTTTGCTGTGCAAAAAGCTTTTTAGTTTCATGTAGTCCTGCTTGTCTATTTTTGTCTTTGTGGCTTTTGCTTTTGGTGTCAAAGCCAAAAAATCATCACCAGGACCAATGTCAAGGAGCTTACTTCCTGTTTTCTTCTAGGACTTTTATGGTTTCAGGTCTTACATTTAAGTCTTTAATCCACTTTAATTTCTGTGTCTCGTGTAAGACAGTGGTCCAGTTTCATTCTGTTGCTTGTGGCTGTTCAGTTTTCCCAACACATTTATTGAAGAAACTGTCCTTTCCCCACTGTAAATGTTCTTGGTTCCTTTTTTGTAAGTGAATTGATCATATATGCATGGGTTTACTTCTGGGCTCTTTATTCGGTTTCATTGATCCTTGTGTCTTTTTGCTGCTGTCACACTATTTTGATTACTGGAGCTTTGTAATACAGTTTGAAATGAGAGAGTGTGATGCCTCCCAGCCTTGTTCTTCTTTCTCAAGTTGCTTTGACTATTCGGGGGCTTCTGCGGTTCCATACAGATGTTTCTGTGAAAAATGCCATTGGAAATTTGATAGGGATTGCATCAGATCTGCAGATTGCTTCGTATATGGGCATTTTAACAATGTTAACTCTTCAATTCGGGAGCACAGGATATATCTATTTATTTGTGTCTTCAATTTCTTTCATAAATGTCTTTCACCTCCTTGGTTAAATTTATTCCTAAGTATTTTATTCTTCTTGATGCAATTGTAAATGGGATTGTTTCCTTAATTTCTCCTTCTGATAGTTCACTATGAGTCTATAGACATGCAGCAGATTTCTGTTCATTGATTTTGTAGCCTTCTTTACTGAATTCATTGCTTAGTTCTAATAGTTTTTTGCTGCAGTCTTTGGGGTTTTCTGTATATTAATATCATGCCATCTGCAGATAGTGATAGTTTTACTTTTCTGATTTGAATGTCTTTTATTTATTTATTTTTTGCTCAGTTGCTCTGGCTAGGAATTCCAATGCCATGTTGAATTAGAAGTGGCAGGAGTGGGCATCCTGTCTCTTTCCTGATCTTAGAGGAAAAGCTTTGAGCTTTTTACCACTGAGTATGATGTTAGCTGTGGACTTGTCATTGTCACACATGGCCTTTATTTTGTTGAGGTATGTTTCTTCTATACCCAATTTATTAAGAGTTTTTATCATAAATGGATGTTGCATTTTGTCAGATGCTTTTTCTGCCCCTATTGAGATGATCCCGTGATTTTTATCCTACCCTTCGTTAATGTGGTGGATCACACTGATTTCCATCCCTGGAATAAATCCCACCAGGTCATGGTGTATGGTCCTTTTAATGTGTTGTTGAATTTGGTTTGCTAATATTTTGTTGAGGATTTTCATAGTATGTTTATCAGAGATACTGGCCTGTACTTTTCTTTTCCTGTGGTGTCCTTGCCTGGTTTTGGTATTAATGTAACGCTGGCCTTGTAAGACGAGTTTAGAAGCGTTTCCTCCTCTTCCATATTTTGGAAGAGTTTAGGGCTTGATACGTATTCTTTAAATGTCTGGTAGAATTCGCCAGCGAAGCTGTCTGGGTCTGTACTTTGTTTGGGAGGTTTTTGATTATGGATTCAATTCTCTTACTAGTTACTGGTCTGTTCAGATTTTCTGTTTCTTCATGATTCAGCCTTGGGAGGTTGTAAGCATTAGGAGTCTATCCATTTCTTGTAGGTTGTCCAGTTTGCCGGTTAACAATTATAAATTGTAGTTTCATACGATCCTCTGTATTTGTGGTAGTAGTTGTAAACTTCTGTCACTTCTGATTTTAGTGGAGTCCTTTTTTTTTGTTTTCTTGGTGAGTCTAGCTAAGGGTTTTCCAATTTTACCTTTTCAAACTAGCTTTTAGTTTCATTGATCTTTTCTATTGTCTTTTTAGTCTATTTTACTTATTTCCATTCTGATCTTTGTTATTTTCTTCCTTCAGATAACTTGGGGCTTCATCTGTCCTTTTTTTAGTTCCTTGAAGTGTTAAGTTAGGTTCTTTGAGATCTTTCTGGTTTCTCAACGTATTTATTGTTAAAAACTTCCCTCTTAGAACTGGTTTTGCTGCATCCCGTAAGTTTTGCTTTGCTTTATTTCCATTTTTATTTGCCTTTAGTATTTTTAAGGTTATCTTTTGATTTCTTTTATGACTCGTTGGTTGTTCAGTGTTGTTTAGTCTCCACTTATCTGTGAATTTTCCAGTTTTATTCCTGTGATGATTTTTAGCTTCATACCACGAGGGTTGGAAAAGATGTTTGATACGCTTTCGGTCTCAAAGACTTGTTTCGTGGTCTAATACATGGTCTGTCCTGGAGACTGTTCCACGTGCACTCAAGAAGAATGTGTATTCTGTTGCTTTTGGATGAGATGTTCCATGTCTTATCTGTTAGGTCTGTCTGGTCTAACATGTAGTTTAAAGCGGATGTGTCCTTTTTGATATTCTGTCTGGACGATCTATGTTGATGAAAGTGGGGGTAGTAAAGTCCTCAGCTGTTGCACTGTTTCTTCCTTTAGGTCTGTTAATACTGCTTTATATATCCACATGTCCCATGTTGGGTGCGCAAGTATTTAGGAATGTTACATGCTCTTCCTGGGTTGACCCCTGCTTTATCATTATGTAATGTCCTTCTTTGTTTCTGATTATAGTCTTCATACTAGCTTTATGAGTGATTAAGCTATACCACCTTTATATTATTGCAAAGTTTACTATAGTACATCTGCTAGTGAGATTTATACTTCCATATGTTTTCCTGTTACTAAGTAGCAGCCTTTCTTTTCGGTTTAAAGAAGTTGCCTTAATTCCTGTAAGGCCGGTTTAGCTTTTGCTTGTCTGGAAAACTCTGCCTAATTCTGAATGACAGCTTTATTGAGTTTTCTTGTCTGCAAGAGTTTTTTTTTCAGCACCTTGAAACTACCATGCCACTCCCTTCTAACCTGCAAAAAGTTTCCTGCTGACAGTCTCAATGGGAGTTCCCTTGTATGTAACTAGTTGTTTTTCTCTTGCTGCTTTAAAAATTCTCTCCTCTTTTCACTTTTAACAATTTAATTATAATGTGTCTCACTGTGGGTCAAGAGACCCATACCTCTGGCGTGTGTTTCACTTGGCGCTCTCTGGGCTTCCTGGATCTGGATGTCTGTTTCCTTCCCTGTATTAGGGAAGTTTTCAGCCCCTTTCTCTCTCTGTTCTTCTGGGACCCCTATAATGCAAATGTTGATCTGTTTGATGTTGGCCCGTAAGTCCCTTAAGTAATGTTCACTTTTTTTTATTCTTTATTGTTTCTGCTGCTCCAGTTGTTTTGAGTTGCACTGCCCTGTGTTCGAGTTCACTGATCCTTTCTACCGTGTCATCCAGTCTGCTGGTGAACCCCTCCAGCATATTTTTCAGTTACTGTATCCTTCAGCTCTGTGACCTCTTTGTGGTACTTTTTTATATTTTCTGTCTTTTTATTGAAGTTCCCACTGTACTCATCCATTCTTTTCCTAGGTTAAGTGAGCATCTTTATGACCATTATTTTGAACCCTTAATCAGGTCAATCACTTCTCTCCATTTCATTAAGGACTTTTTCTGAGGTTTTACCTTGTTCCTTAATTTGGCACATCTTCCTCTACTTCTTCATTTTCCTTGACTCTGCGTTGGTTTCTTTGCATTAGATAAAACAGCCGCCTCTCCCAGTATTAGAGGAGGGACCTTGTATGGGGGTGAACCTTACCATTCACCCCTGCTGTAATCCTGATTGTCTCTCAAAACCCTTGTGATTGGCCAAGCAGCCTGTTTCATTTGTAGTGGTTCTCAGTAGTTGCAGGTGGGCCCAGACCTGTCAGTATTCTCTATGAAAGGAGCTTTTAAAGTATGCAGATATACAGTCTTGTGTGACAGCCAGCATTAAGTCCCACTGTCCACAGAGCCAGGTGACCTAGAGGTGTCCCCTGGGCAGCAGTCTTAAAAATCTGGGTGCCCTGTGAGTATAACCAGTTCCTTTCCAGGAGACAACAGAGACTTGGAGTAAGGCAAAGGGCGAGCATGCAGACGGCGTCCACTGGCCTCTGTCCCCAAGTGTGCCTAAGTGGGCCCCTGGATGTGTGCCAGAGCAGAAGCCTGCCCCCTAGCGTGTCCCAAAGCTCCAGGACAAGCAAGTAGCCTTTTTCATGGAGACTCTGAGGGTGTTTCAGTTGGCTGGCTGTGTAGTGCCCCAGGTTTGGTAGCCAGCCAAGAACCGTGTTTGCCCCCAGAGCCAGACAATCAAGAGGTGTCCCCTGAGTGGCAGCCACAAAAACCAGGGCACCAGCCTTACACAGCCGCTCCTCTCTGCGAAATACTGGTGCTCTGGAACACAGCAGAGGAAGAGCTCAAAGATAGTACCTGCCCTCAGGTTGTAAGCTGTAATAATTTATTTTTAAAGCTTTAAAAAAAACTATATTAAAATGTTAAATACATACATGTCAAATGACCCAGTCCTTCCACGCCTAGGTATTTAACCAAGAGAAAGGAAGGCATACGTATGTCTGCACAAATACCTGTACATGAATGTTTTACATCAGCGTTACCTGTAATAGCCTAAAACTAGAAACAACCTGATTTTCATCAGTAGGTGAATAAAGTTCTGTCTGCACAATGGAATGCTACTCGGCAATAAAAAGGAATAACCTGCTGACATACACAACTTCGTGGATGAATGTGGAAATAATTATGTGAGTGAGCCAGACGGAAGAACTATATTATATGATTCCATTGTATAAAAGTTTAGAAAATGTCAACTACAGTGACAGAAAGCAGATGAGTGGTTGCTTGGGAACGGGGCTAGCGGCGAGGGAGGGGTGAGTTACCAGGGAGCATGAGGACACTTTAGGGAGTGGTGGATGTTTATTGCTTTGAGGTCATGGTGTCTTGCGTGTACATGTATGTCAGAACTCATCAGGCTGTACATCAGACTGTGTGTTAGCCATGTCTTAACAGAGCTGTAAAAAAAAAAGACAATTTAAGTATGGTGGTTTCTGGGGGAAGGCAGAGGGACAGACATGGGAGGAACCCACTTTTAATGACGCTGATTGCTGCTCATACTGTTACATGAATGAGATAGAGAGGCCAGCGTGGAAAACAGAATGAAAGAACTTCAAACTGCTCTCCTCAGCACCAGTGCCTGCTGCCGTCGGCGTCCGGGGCTGCAGCCGCCCCGGCAGCCCTGCCCTGCGTGAAGCTGGCTCCCCGCGCCCCCGCGGCGCCCGGCGCGCTGCGCGCAGCCTCCACGCTGCCGGGCTGCCAGCTTGGGTGGCACGTCCTGCAGGCCCCGGGAGCAAGGCCTTGCATTTCATCGACGTGTTGTAGTCTCTGAATCTCCTCCTGTCAAAAATTCATCTTTTATGAATGGCCAAAACAGCACTTAATATTTTTTAACGCCGCGGGTTATGTCATTAATGCTGAGCTAAGAGCTGGATTGATATGACTGATATTCTTTAAATGCACGTGGACATATATTTAGCATGCTTTCCACTTCCTAGATTTATTCCAGTCAAACCCAATTTAGTAGTAAAAACTCAGGAGCAATTCTTTTGAACTTCCTAATTGGCCACATTCTTGCCTCCTTGCCTTTCTGCAGATCTGATTTGTATCTACTGTGATCAGCACTCACTTAGGACCTTCCAGACCCAGGACCCCCGAGGAACCAGACTCCGCACACAAGTGAGTAGTCCCAGCACCACCTCTGCCTGTGGAACTGGGTGGGGGGGTGTTGTCCTCGGGCTGGAGTCGCTTCAGGCGTCCCTGCAGCACCTGGGCGGGGAAGGGCACACTTCGCGGAGGGCACAGGCTGCAAAGTAGTGTGATTTTGCAGGAAACTAATAATTTTCTCTTGTTACTGATGGACTATATAGACGTTATATAACATTGAACGTCTTTTATAATAAACACTGGTTAAATGAAATTAATTCCAACACACATCTTAAGCCAGTGGGGTTCATCTTGGAGCTTAGAGCCGGTTGAGAAAGACGGAGTTTCCCAGGCTCAGGTCAGCTGAAATGCTCATTAACATAGACAAATGAGTTTTTGAGAAAATGGCCTTCAAGTTGCCTGGGATTGTTTCCATGAAAATGCCATAGCACAAGTTACCCGAAACTAGCTGGATTTCCAGTGTTCAGATGTCACAGATAGGATAGGAGTTGGCTACTTTTAAATAATAAAGGGCCAAGGCGACCATGTGCCCTGGCTTTTCTGTAACGGGTCCAGTACGGTAACCGTCCACAAAGGCTGCTCTCTGGGTATGTTACCTAAAGCAGTATTTTTATACTTTTCAAGATTTCTGTGTGTAGAATTCGGTTTAGGAGAATGTGGCCCTCCTAGCTGTGGAGGAAGCATGAGGTGTGCGAAAGAACATGGCTATGGGAGGGCCGAGAAGTGCTGATTTCTTCCTCATCACCAAGGAGCACCACTCCCTTCGGGGAGAGCGACACCCTGCGAGACTGCTGGTCAGGGACTAGCTGGGCTTGTTTCTGTCTGTAACTTTTCCTGAAGCAGGAGGAGTGTTTCCACTTAGTGTCCTTTTTTTTTTTTTAAATAATCACCGGTGCACTGAGTTTTACATATTGGCATCTTAAGGCTACTTTTCCTGTCAATCGGCAGAAAATATTTGTCTACCTCCCTGAAAGAACACACTCTACTGCAGAAAATAACCACTGCTCGTCCTTTTACCCTCCCTGCCCTGCACGCGGCAGGCGGCTGCGGTCAGTCAGTGGCATTTAAGGTCCTGACAGATACCTGTGTTTTGCAGGAAGGCGGCTGTAACTTCCGATTCCTTGGTGGAGGAAAACAAAACACTCTGGTCTTGCTTCCCATGATGCGAGTGTGACTGCTGGCGTCTTCATGAGCTCCAGAGGCCACAGCACGCTGCCACGGACTCTCATGGCCCCTCGGATGGTTTCTGAGGGAGACATAGGAGGCATTGCTCAAATCACCTCCTCTCTCTTCCTGGGCAGAGGCAGTGTCGCCTCTAACCGGCACCTCCTCCAGGCTCGCGGCATCACCTGCATTGTTAATGCTACCATTGAGATCCCCAACTTCAACTGGCCCCAGTTTGAATATGTTAAAGTGCCTCTGGCTGACATGCCTCATGCCCCCATTGGACTCTACTTTGACACTGTGGCCGACAAGATCCACAGCGTGAGCAGGAAACACGGGGCCACCTTGGTGCACTGTGCCGCAGGGGTGAGCCGCTCGGCCACCCTCTGCATCGCGTACCTGATGAAGTTCCACAACGTGTGCCTGCTGGAGGCGTACCACTGGGTAAAAGCCCGGAGGCCCGTCATCCGGCCCAACGTGGGCTTCTGGAGGCAGCTGATAGACTACGAGCGCCAGCTCTTCGGGAAGTCGACAGTGAAAATGGTACAGACGCCTTATGGCATAGTTCCAGACGTTTACGAGAAGGAGTCCCGACACCTGATGCCTTACTGGGGGATTTAAGCCACCAAAGCCCGCCTCGGCGGCCCCTCGAGCAGGACCAGCATCCGCTACCCACCGTCTGCTCCCCTCTTCACCTTTCTTTCCAAATGGTTGACTTTTGGTTCTCCCTGAGGTGTTTTTTACACTGGGTGTTCAAGTTTATTTTAAAAGCTAGGGAGGGAGGGGTGGAACATAAGGGAAACGCTTACATTGCTAGTAACATTTTTAAAACTAACATTTTGGAATAGTGTTTATGAAAATCTTTAACTGGCTTTTAATCATTTTTAACAATTTGAACAGTTTAATAAACTGTTTAGTTCTGCTCTTCTCAATCCCATGCCTTTTGGCATCACGGCAGGAGCCGGAGGAGCTCAGTGCAAAAATCACTTTGGGCCCTGATTAACCCTTTAGACACAAGCTTTGCCCATGGCTGCCGACCAGACATGCTTACGGAAGATTGATACCAGCGCCAGTCCCCACTGGGGCAGCTCTCCTCTTTCCTTCCCCTCTATTATTTAGTGACTCTGTAAGTTTAAAAAAAACAAGCCTTTATTATTTAGCTGTCAAGTAATTATAATGAAATCTGCTGCAAACACCCTCTTGGAATCAATGTGCCCCAGGACTATATTAGCATTATTTTTAATAAATATATCTGCTTAACATACTGGAATTTTTACTGTTGAGAATTTCAGGGTGTGTGTGTGTGTGTGTGTTGATAAGGGAAGAAAGATGCTCTCCAGTAACTCAAAATGTGGCTCCTGTGACAACTGTTAACACTCCTGAAAACAGATACCCCGGCCGCATCACGTCAGCGTTCCACAGCACATGTTAACATCACACCCAAAGCTGGAACAGTGGGGAAGAGCACAGTGTACACGCCAAGGGGCTGTTTTCAGTTGTCTCCTGGTAACTGGGATGCACAAAAGCAGTGAGTGAGTCCTCTAGCAAAGAAACTGGTTTTCAACAAAAGGTGTTCCCTTTGCTTGACAACTGACGTACTTAGAAATGCCCCAGACCAAACTGCAAAACAAAAGATAAGCAGATAACAATGGCTTCCTTTGTTGAAACTTGGAAACATCACTGCTCCTAACAAATCTGACAGCGCAACGCATCAGGGACGCGGCGGAAGCTCCTGCTGGCTCCTCTCTTCCCGTCCTCCTGGGAAAGCACGGGCGTTCCCAGCTTGCCCCCTACTTTTATAGGGGGCCACGTGTCCTAGCACAACTTTGTTTACTTCACTTGCCAGGTAGCTTGCTTATCCGTGGAATAATTTCCTAGTTTTGGGGCCCGTTTTGGCAAGAAGTTCCACATACAATGCCAGCAGCTGCCTATTTACATAAATTATATTTTCCAGATTTTACCTGGTCTGTGGCAGTGGTGTCCCTCTAAATTTTACCTCTCCTTATTTTACACAATTTGCTCATTTTTATAAACATGCACATTACTGTCAAAAGAAGAAAATTAAAATGGAATTAATAGTTTCTATGGGAAATCAGATCAATCCAAAAAAGCCTCATCAGCGCATGATCAAAAATCAGTTTTTCTATGGCTTCTATAGTAAGAAGTTAATGCAAGTCTGGTCGTCTCTGGCTACATGTAAAAGTCACCACTGCACTACAGTGAGAAAACGCCTGGTAACAGCTGTTCATGGTAATTAAGAAAATGTTCCTGCAGAACTCCTGGCAGACACCACTACTGGGACGTAACTAAGAGCCTTCTTAGCACTTGGGAAGCCTAATACCTTTCTAATCTAAATGTCAGAGTCTGTTAGCTGGTCACAGAGGAAGGCGTGTGACCTCGAAGGTGTTCGGGGAATTTTTGTAGTGATCCCCAGCACAGAACAGGCATTTCAGATTTCCATAACTTAAAGGCCCTACAATCTTTCCAAAGCTTAAGAACACACTAGTCAGGGGAGGGGATAGCTCAGTGGTAGGGCGTGTGCTTAGCATGTACGAGGTTCTGGGTTCAATCCCCGGTACCTCCATTAAATAAACAATTAATAAACCTAATTACTACCCTCCTCAAAAAAACTAAAAAAAAAACAAGAGTCATGAAATCAAAGGCAAATAGAAGGCATCTGTAAATAAATAAAAATTATGTGTATGCACACAAAATACATTCAAAAAATTTAAAATACGCAACCCATATGGAGTGCTAACTGGTAGCCACAGAAAAATAAAGCATGCATAATATCCTAATATACCCTGTGCCTCTTCTACCTCAAGCATGTCCAGACAAAAACTATAAACTAAGCCACAAAAAAAACCAAAGGTAAGATACAATACCAAGAAAGTGCTTGTTAATTGGCACTCAGCAGTGGGGTGAAGCAGCCCGCACAGCGCACGCTGTGGAAGTACGTAACCTTGGTTACTGTTTCCAAGGACACTGGGCTCCTGGCTAACAAGAGCTGAGGTGAAGCTGAAAGCAATGTTGAATCATTTTCATAAACCTGCATAAAGAAAGAAAATCAATGCAATGGTATTCCAATTGCCCAAATCTTTATTGGTGGATCTAATAAAACATTTTCACCACGAATCAGATACTGCAAGTAGTGAGTTTTTTCTAGCAAAGGCTGTTTGCTGATGCCAGCTGTACCTTCCCCTTGTACCGCCCAGGGAGTGACTAAACCTGTCATACTTGGTAAGGTCAGCAGTGATTAGACTTAGGAATCTTAGCTGAGGCATTCTGGAATATATCTAGAAATGGGAACCAATCTAGTTAACAGGTGTGCATACTTTTAAAAATGTCACTGATACGGACCACTGTGACAGAACAGTCCATGTGGCGTTTCCCAAAAATGTCTCTGCAGTATAAATTCTGTCAAACTGGGATGCTTTTCTGTCACAAAGGTGGAATGCACAAGACCGATTAGAAAGCTGCTTGAATTCTGGTGCCAGGTTGAAACCCTAGGTCCTGATCAGGCTGACGGGGAGCACAGAGGCCTCAGGCAGAGCCTGCTGGAAACCGGCCCACGCTGCCGTTACTAATGCCCACCAGCCCTGTGGGGCCGAGGCCTTGAAGGTGACGATTCAGAGACTGCAGTCTCAGGCATTACTCGCCATCTCCAGAGATGGTATTGTCTGAAGCAAATGAGAAAAACAGAGTTACCTCATCAGCACTTCCCTGTGCCTTCTGGCGCCCAGCAGGGCAAAGCAGAAGCCTCAATAGCTCTTTAATGACAATGCTCTCTACCTTTCTTGGAGAGGACTGAAGGAAAAGGCGTAAAATGGAACAAAAGAGAATTTCTTCAAGTTTTGTCCTGAGAAGGGAAAATGATCTAGTAAATTATGTAAAGCAGCAACTGCAGGGACAAAACCAACCTTCCCAGTTTACAAAGAAAAACTAAGTCTGGGTCAGAGAGCTTAAGCCACAGACCAAGTGAAACACACAAGATTCAAAATCCCTTCATAAAGCCCGTAATTAACAATTCAGAGAAGTGTCCCAGACGGGCATGTTCTTCGCAGGAATAACGCAGTCCTTAACCACTGGGCTTTCCCCCCCGATTTTATACATTCAATTTAAGTGGCAAAGAAAATACCCTAAACCAGACAGCATGAGCCTTTTCCTTCTAAAATCCGGGGCTGTTTTTGAACAACTTGCTGCCACTGCTTCTAAGTGATGTGCCTCACCACAGACACACCTCCTGCTTTTTCTCCTTGCTTGGCTGGGAGCTCCACCTTCTAACCCAGATTTAATTTTCAGGTCTTTCACAGAGATGCTGCAGTACTGGCCCCTGGGCAGTCATTTCTGGAAATCTGGACAGAGGCCTCTGCAAAAAGGTTTCATTCAGCTGCCTTTCCAAATCTCGTCTGAGAAAAATACCACGTTCACAGTCTGTGTGTGAGGTAAACCAAGGCTTTCAGTGAAGGCTAGCGGAAGGGTATTTATCCTGATACACCATGATCCGGGCCTCTGTCAAACATTCTTCTCCACTGCAAAGTTTCAGGCATGTTTTGAGAAAGTCTTCTTGAAAGCTGACAGTCTTGGAAATGAATGAACGGAGTAGCTACCTGGTTCAGTTGGGACAGTCAAGTTAGTCAGTCTGCTCTCACCCACTTGCCATTGTCCAATGGAGAGAAGCAGAGTTTCTTCTATGAAAGAATATCAGTTTAATCACACTTTCCCATTTTTATTCACTTCAGATATTAACAAACTAAGTGTGGATAAATGCTCTCTCCTTCACAGGACAGGAAGTGTTCCGGACAGAAACAGACACTGGCTCAAACCATTCTAACCAACTCCAGTCCTACAACAATTATTTATTTTTCTCCAAATGTCAATTCTTCACAGTTTCAATACCACAGCAGCAAATTATTCCTTAAAGAAAATTGTGGTCCACATTTTAAAACACCTTAGGAGGACTAGAGATAAGGTGGCAAACTTGCGGCGACACATGCAGTGTGGGCGGGGCACCTCGACCTCGGATCCCACAGACCGGCAGTGGGAACCTGGGGACAAAGGCCGTCCGTAGGACCGCCTGGGAGCTTGGCAGCACTCCCCTTACCTCTTGAGGACTTTTTCATGGAGGTGGGTGGGGGTTAACTCTGTAGCACTCGCATTCTGTCTCTTGGTCCCTGTCACCCCAAGGGGGTGTGATGGAAAAAAGACCCCAGCTGGTACTTCACGGAGGAGCTTTCAGGAGATTTCAGAGCAAATCAGGCAGGATGAGGCCAGGAGGTTTCGGTTCAACACAGTTGATCCAGAAGTTGGCACAGCTGGCGTGATACTGGTGTCCTCCATATGCCAGCTTGAAACTGTCTGTCTCTGAGTTGAACGCCTGCCGGAAATAAACAGACACGCGGGGCGAGTCAGGCTTCCTCTGCGGCCGGGATCTGCCAGCAGCCAGCACGGACCCCCTCCTGGTCACAGAGGCTGAGGCCAAACTGGCACACACACAGAAAAGCCGAGCAGGTGGCTCCAGGAATTCAAGCGAGAAACTTTCTCGCTGCTAATTAAAGGCATAACAAAATCTTTACTGTTAAACCCAGTTTCAGCAAAAGGAGGCCAAATCTTTCCTAGAACAGACAGGCCGATGCTGTGGGGGTTGGCAGGGGTCATGATGGGGGAACTAAAATAGAAGGGCTGTGGATAACTTTTCTCTCTCTTTGTGAGGAAGGGAGCCCTTCCCTGAAGCTGGCATCGGACTGTAACATGTAATTCCTTAAATTTCTGAGGCTAACCAGTCTTATCAGGAAAGAAAACAAAAGATTAAAAAAACCCTGAAGGTCTAAAGACACTGGGTGCTAATAACTGAATCATAAAGTCCATAGGTATAAGATTTGTTAAAAAAAAAAAGACATGAAACACATGAGAATTATTTCCACATGAGTAATGCTTATAGGGGAAGTTACCGCCAACCAGTCCGAACTTCAGTCACTTATGGGGGTGTTTTCCACAGCACTACAAGTAAGCAAATAAGTAAAACTCTAAAACCCAACCGATTGGGTTTTGTCTGCTAACAGCCAAATCCTGAAGCTCTTTGCTCTCATTCTGTGTGTCACTGCAACTTCGTCTTCCAGAAGTTGCTCACTCTGTTATCCTGTGTCCCTCACAGAGAAAAGCCGCCACGACACCAGAAGCCAATTGTGAGAGACGAGCATGCAGACAAGACGGAAGTGGACCCACACAGACACGTTAGTTGATTGAATCAAGCACTATGGGGAC